GTTTGGTCTTGTATAGTAAACATTCAAACTAATGTTATGACTATTTTAAAGTACAGTAGCATATATTTTCTTACTTTTGACTTGTATACTTTGATCTCATGTTAAACTTTCAACCATAAACTAAACTTATTGCATGTGTACATTTCTCTCCTATAATAATTACCTTCTCCTATAGTCCCAGATGTACATATAGACAATTTCTCACCTTTTCACTCGTATAATCTGGTCTCGCATGGGTTTAATGTCTTGGAAACTTTGCTGGTTGACCAGGCTGTAGACTAGGATGAAGCCCTGGCCGTTTCGGATGTACAGGTCCCGCATGGAGGCGAACTGCTCGGTTCCTGCGGTGTCCAGGATCTCCAGCACCGAGGGCGAGGAATCCACCTCTATCTCTTTCCGGTAGAAGTCCTCGATGGTCGGGTCGTACTTCTCGATGAAAGTCCCGGTGACGAACTGCACCGTGAGGGCGGACTTCCCCACTCCGCCGCTGCCCAAGACCACCACCTTATACTCTCGCATTTCAGCGCGACAACAACTGTCTGTTTTGTGTGAGTTTTGCGCTAAAATTAAGACCAAAACCCCGCACGATTGTCGCGTTCGCTCCGCAGCGCATTGCGAGCTGTCGGACGGATCAATCGGTTCTCGAATCTGCTACAAATGATTGGGAAAAGGCTACAAAATGGCATGTCTGGCTTTTAACGCGAATCATGCCGTATGTTAGAGTCACCGGACGTAAACGTGAAGAGAACGCGACACATTTGTATAAAAGCTGAACAATGGGAATGCCTTGTGTCGCTGGAATGAGGAGGCAGAGGCTGAGACTTCATCCATGCCACTCCTTCGGCGTCGCCTCCTCTTTGGGCTTTTTTGTCTCAGGGATGGATGCGACTGGCTCACAGACTGGCTGGGTATTTCCTGGATGAAAAAAAAGAAAAGAAAAAAACCCATTGTGGATAATGGGATTTGATGAACATGTCGGAATGAGACGCAAACTGATTGTATAAGAAAGAAAGAATACAAGGAGATGGTATTAGCGACTAGTGTTGGTTGTTGCGTAATGATGGTTTTTAACACGAGAACTCCCAGAGTGGTCAATGTCACCGATTTTCGTGTTGGAAGTGTTATAACTTCACTTATGTACGGTTTTGTGACGGTTTCTTTTGTTTCTATAAGTAGTTTAATTCAATGTAATTATGTTTATGAAAATGATCTCGATCCGAGAGTTATCTCGGCTTGGAGCGAGTGCTTGTTAGAGTGCGAGTTACCATAGCAACACGCTGTTTACTTGTAGCAGTTAGCATTTAGCTTTGTCATATTTCAGTTCTATTAAACAGTTTAAGCATGTGCTAAAGATTTTAAAAAAAAATTATGAACTACTTAATTATAATAAAACGAAACAAAGCTGTTTTTTTCTTCTTCAGAATGCCATTAATTAGCATGGGAGCCGTTAAAATATAGTCTAGTGTCAAGCCAATTTTGTGTCGTGCTAATTAAATAATTATGAACCAATATGTACACAAAATAATAGGCAAGTAATGCTGGATTAAACCAAGGGTATGTCAATTTATCTACTCATAAAAGTCATGAGACTTTCTTTTTTGTTCAACAGAAGTACAGTAAAGCGTAGTGCACAGGTCAGACCACTACATGCTTAATCTCAGATTCATTTATTTGCCATTTGCAGTAAAACCACATTGGAATACATTTGAAAAAGTCCCCAGTGTGCACAAAACAAGTACATGAATAAAACAGTAAACAATTGACATTGTGAAATTGATCGACTAAAACAGTTTCAATACAAGTTCAAGATCATTAAAGTGCTTTGTTCAAACTGATAACAGCTTGTGGAAAGAAGCTGTTTGCATAGCTAGATGTCTTGCATCTCAGAGAACAATATCTTCTGCCAGAAGGAAGAAGCTGGAACATGGCTTTTCCAGGGTGGCCAGAAGAGTCATTAATTATTCTAAGAGCTCGGTTTTAAAAGTCTGGATTCATAAACTACCCCCAGAACAGGAAGCTCACAGCTCACAGTCCTTTTTGCAAAGCGGAGCACCTTGTTTAGAGCTCTCCTTTCTTTATCTGTGATGTCACCAAACCACACAGTCACTAAACCAACAAGTAAACTTTCAAACTTGCTTGTTTGAAAGCAAACTTTGGTGCAGCGATAAAAGTTTAGCAGAATCTTAGAGTTAGTGGTAAAGTAAGTAGAGACGCTGACAAGCTTTCTTAACGACCCGATTAGTGTTTTATTCCCATTTCAGGTCGTTAGACAGAGTTAAAACGAGAAACTTTCACTCCTCTACAATCTGCACTAGGGAGTTTCAATAACAACAGTGAGAACTGTTACAACTAAAGTCAAAGACTAGTTCACATGTTTTGGATTCATTCAGCTGGAGGTTGTTATGATTACTCCACTGAACCACATTTTGGATCTGTGCTCTGTCAGAGCACAGATGAGACCAACAATGGGGGTGTCATCAGCATATCTAGAATAGAATAGATCTTTATTGTCAGTTAAAATGATCAAGTTAGAGTCAGAGGAAGAAAACATATTTTCTTTGACATACCTGTCATAATACGAGCTTTTCGAGTCACTTTATGACGCTTGGGGCTGAGTATGGAATATCTCAAGATGTCACTGAGAAAGAACATACACGAAAACTAGTGATAGAAGATGTTTAAGAGTGAGGATTTTAATACATATACTTATTGGTTTTAAAGTTAATAATATTTATCCATGCTTTTGTATTTGCCTGTTTTAAGTTATTTTCTAGTCTGCTATCAGCAAATAATCCTCCTTCAGTTTATTCCTTAGACACAACTGTAAAAACTATATGCATATTTAGTTAAGTACTCACCAGGTGTTCCTATTTGAGCCTCCAGACTGCTGTATTGCCCAGTATAAATCAAATTCTTTTTCTAATCCCAAACTGCTGTGGTCTTTTTATGTTATATATCATATTAGATCTGGCAACATTCAATTATATGAAAATAAAACATATAGGATAAACTTTATTGATCTGATCTTATCTGATCTTGTTCTCATAATATTAAATGTTGCCAGATGTGAGAGAGGCCATTCAAGCCCCGTCTGTGACCCTAGACTGTATTGTGCAAACAGGAAATGACTGAGAATAAATATTAGGGACTTTCTGCTTATGATGGCCTCAGTTTAGATCAAAGTTTAAACATACTTTTGTCATGTATCAAGAGACACCAATAAAGGATATAAAGCAGAATAGGTTTTCTATAAAGTCTATCTAATCATTATAAGCTGAGGTACCTAACTTTGTTTTGTTTGTCCCTATAGAAAGTGAATGAATGTAAAATGTGACAGAACATAAGCTGTATTTGTCTCATTATAAAACATTCTTGTGTGTAAGAAAGAGCCCTGTAAGTCACTATTTGACTCAGAGCTGATTGGCTGAGTGACGGTGGTGCTCTCTTTGTCACTTAGAAAAAGCTGATCTACAGATGTGACAGAGGCAGGAAACTAGTGATTTTCCATGACTTGCCAGTTGAGTACCTCAGCTTTAAGGGTTATGACATATTTGGCCTCTATTGAAAATGGAAAACCAAGAAATTCATAAAAACATTAACATGGATATAAAAGTGAATTGACTGGCAATTACTATTACAGCTGGGACTCTGAGGAGCACAGGGACTGGTCTTCTGCTGGGACTCTGAGGAGCACAGGGACTAGCCTTCTGCTGGTCCCAGAGTCAAGACTAAACATGAGGAGCAGTGTTTCATATTTATGCAGCTATAATCTAGAATCCATTCATTTTCTACCCCTTAAACCATTTCTGGGTCGGAGGGGTGGCCACAGATGCCACCCAGTACATAGCCCTCACTGACCCTCCTGCAGGTGATGAGTCCACAGGAGGATGGCAGCTCTATGGCATAGCCTTGATCTTTCAGCGGGGGCTTCAGGCAAAGTGGGGTTAAGTGTCTTGCCCAAGGACACAACGACAGCAGTCATCAGTGGGAGTCGGTGGAGAAGGTCTCATATAATCTAGAAGTCTTCCTAAAAATGTGCACATGGGACAGGCTTCTTATCTGACAAAGTTCAAATCCAGATGAAAAACAGTCCTGTTTAGCTGAAACAACTGAGGGATTGTATCCTCACTCTCTTGAATGCACTGTGATTTTTTAGGATTTCAATGGCCTTTATTGTTCTATCGTTTTGTTAAGCACTATTAGTTGCCTTGTGTGTGGACTGTGCTATACATATAAACTTGCTTTTTTGCTGCAGAAGGAAAAACAATAAGATCATGGACATTATTAGGCATTTACAGAACTCTGGAGATAATTTAAAACAGTTGGTGAATTACACTGTTACAAATACAACAAACGAGACAAAACACATATTTAATTTTCTTTATTTTTCTCTTTCAATAAATTGTACACTATCCTGCAACAAAAATCGACTATATAACATAAAATCACACAAAATATTATGCAAAAACCACATTAAAATGACATTGAACTACAATTCAGTGATTTTTATTTCAATTTCGGGGAAAAAAAGAAGAATCAACCCAAGTAGTAACTAAGTGGCACTAGCAGTCAGATGCCGCCCCCTGGTGAGTAAAGCTGAAACTGCAGGTCCATTGTACATAAGGCAATGAGACAGAATCACCACAATAAACCAATGGCTGCTGATAAAATGTAGCTTTAAAATACATTGAAATGAACTTAAAATTGGATTTGAAGATTAAACCATTCAAGTCTTGTCTTAAGAGTTTTTAAACACCGTGGTACACTCAAGGATAAGGCAAAGTTGTTCCAAAAGTGCTGTATTTCAACTATACCGTCAGTCAACCATTTCAAACATAGTAAAAAGTCATTCATAAATTAGCGTGGGTCAAATAAAAGACTTTTTTTCAATAAACATTCAAGATTTTTAAAGAAATTATCCATGCAGCGAGTTGTAAGTAATAGGTTTGAATAGAATATTTGTTGTTTCAAGGTCTACTTTTATGCTCTTTTTCATTAAACAATTTAAACGTGTTTCTCAAGACAATTTAGACTTAATTTAGACTAGTCTGTGTAGATGTATGTGTGTATATTATGTATGTACGTATGTGTGTATGTATTTTTCTGTGCGTGTATGTGTGTACATATACGTACATGTGTGTATGTATGTTTGTATGTGTGTACCGTACGTATTTTTGTGTGCATGTATGTATGTGTATGTACATTTTAAGTTTTACCATTAATTACTATTAAGGTTTTTGTAATACATTTTCATTTCTGAAAAACACTATTTTATAGTTTGTAAATGATTATCTTGATCAAAAAACATTTTGACTCTAAATGTTTTTAGAATTTGTAAAACCAGCTGTACATAAACAGTGTATTTTCAGTGTTTTTTTAATATATAATATTTATTCCCAGTCTCAATGTATGTAGTCGTACGAGCATAAAAGTAGACCATTCAAAAACATGTCATTTCCTGTTACAAAAAAGTTCTTAACTTTTTAGTGATAAATGATTTTGTCTTAATATATATCTGT